CCACTCACCTCAGCCTCCCAAAGGCGCAGGATTACAGGTTGAGCCACCGAGCCTGGCTTAATTTTTTATTTAAGTAGAAGTCTCGCTCTGTCGGGAAGGTTGGAGTGCAGTGGCACATTCATGGTCACTGCAGGCTCTGCCTGCTGGGCTCAGGCAATCCTTCTACCACAGCCTCCCAAGTAGTTGGAGCTACAGGCGTGTGCCATCACACCTGGATAATTTTTTATTTATTGTAGAGATGAGGTGTTGCCAAGTTGCCTAGGCTGGTCTCAAATCCCTGGACTCAGGCAATCTTCTTGCCTCCCAAAGATCTGAGATTACAGGCATGAGCCACCATGCCCAGCGTATTATTATTTTTAAGAAAAAAAAGAACACTCTGATTCTTCTTCTTTTTCTTAAAAAGAGAAGATGAAATTCTTATTTGAGAGCTGCCCTCTCTACACTGGGAGAAAAGAAACATTCTTTTTGTTTTTTTGTGTTTTTTTTTTTTTGAGTTGGAGTCTCATTCTGTCGCCCAGGCTGGAGTATAGTGGCACAATCACAGCAACCGCAGCCTCGACCTGCTGGGCTTAGATGATCCTTCCACCTCGGCCTTCCAAGTAGCTGAACTACAGACACACGCCACCATGCCCAGCTAGTTTTTGTGATTTATCGTATGAACAAGATTTCACCAAGTTGCCCAGGCTGGTCTAAATCCCGGTGCTCAGACAATCCTTTTGCCTTGGCCTCCCAAAGTGCTGAGATTACAGGCTGAGCCACCACACCCAGCCGAAACATTCTTATCATGAAGGACAGAAGGTTGAGACCTAGAAAATTAAGTACAAAAAGATCTTGATACAATAATAACCTTCCTTCAGTCTCCTGGTATATTTTAGTTACTTTTCCACTATTGCCTCTCTTTACTGAACATGGTATAAAAGTATTTAGGCTTTGCCAGTTCTTTGTGTCTTCATTTCCTTAGGAAGGCTTCCATGTCACCTGAAACTTGTATTAAATGTGTGCTTTTCTCTTGATAATCTGTTATGCCAAATAAATTATCAGGCCCAGCAAAAGACCCTAGGAGGGCAGAGGTAAAGTCCCCTACTAAGGCACGGGCTTAGAAGCCCCAGAAAACGTCCTGGCCTTTGTCACACTTCTGGGAACACACTCAAAGTCCTCTAAATCCTCTCAAGTCTCACATTTGTATCCAAGGACTCAAAGAAAGTCAAGCAAATCCTGTCCTGCTTGCTCCCCAAGGAACCCAGAGGGCCTGAGGTGCCCGGCCCAGGCCGCGGGCAAAGGCCAGAGTCTTCCGAGGCTGGCCGGGGAGGGCCTTCAAGGTCAGCTCGACTGACCCCCTCCTACTCCTTGGAGGATCGCGCCCTGCGAGAGGGCTTGCGCAAGGTCGCGAAGCAACACGGCGGCAGAGCCGGGCCCCAGCCAGACCCCCGCGCTCACAGTCCACAGTCCAAGATCACGCCGCTCGCCCACCGCACCCCT